CAGAGTTACTTCAGTACACTCTCTCTATCTGTCTGTCTCTCTCTGTGTGTGAAAGTTTGAAGACCACCCATATCTATCTGTCTGTCTGTCTGTCTGTCTGTCTATTTATCCGTCTGTCTGTCTGTCTGTCTGTCTGTCTGTCTGTCTATCTATCTATCTGTCTGTCTGTTTGTCTGTCTCTGTCTTTTTATCTATCTGTGTGTCGGTCTGTCTATCTATCTATCTATCTATCTATCTATCTATCTGTCTGTCTGTCTGCCGGTCTATCTCTCTGTCTGTCTATCTATTTTTCTGTCTGTCTATATATCCATCTCTGTGTCGGTCTGTCTATCTATCTATCTATCTATCTATCTATCTGTCTGTCTGTCTGTCTGTCTGTCGGTCTATCTGTCTGTCTGTCTATCTATTTGTTTATCTGTTTATCTATCTATCTATCCATCTGTCTATCTGTCTGTCTGTCTGTCTATCTGTTGATCTGTCTGTCTGTCTATCTATCTGTTGATCTGTCTGTCTGTCTATCTATCCATCTGTTGGTCTGTCTGTCTGTCTGTCTATCTGTTGATCTGTCTGTCTGTCTATCTATCTGTTGATCTGTCTGTCTGTCTATCTATCCATCTGTTGGTCTGTCTGTCTGTCTCTGTCTATCTGTCTATCCATCTGTCTGTCTGTCTGTCTATCCATCTGTCTGTCTGTCTATCTGTCTATCCATCTGTCTGTGTGTACATAGGTGCAGCCTTAGGCGTGTTTTATTAAAGTTTCCTGATGAACTCCGACAGTCCCTCAGAGTGAATAAGTCACTCTGCTCCCTGATTTTGCTGAGCATTTTAAACCACGTCGCTCAGCCCTGCCTGTTACCACGAGATACGCAAATACTTAACCCGGCTTTTATGTTTCATTACAGTGTTAATATTTGAGTGTTTGTTTAAAAATGTGGATATTCCAAAACAAACATGGTAAAAATGCCCATCCCTAGTTTTGTGATTCCACTCACCCTGCCTTGCTCTGAACGGGACTGCAGCTCTGCAGCTGCTGCCAGATTAAATATTAAACTGCTCTCTCCACTGTTAGCAGCTACAACATCATCTTGAAGTGCTGCTTACATACTGTCACAGGACGGCTGAGCGTGCCTGGAAGAGAATGTTGACCGTATATCGTCGCTGTGCGCTAGTTTTTATTTTGCGTGATTGTAGACAGCCACCAGGTTGAAGTGATACAGAAATAAAAAAAAATCAACAAAGAGTGTTTTTTTTTTTTCTTTTCTTTTTTGGGACATCGACAACATGTGAACTGGTAGACACGATACAGGAGCTAAGGCTACGTTCACATTACAAGCCTCGTTGCTCAAATCCGATTTTTTACTCAAATCTGATCTCTCTGACGCGATGGTTCACACTCGTTTAGGTAAGTGATTCAAATCTGTCATTAATGTGACGAACCGGCGTCCTGAAATGACCCTCATGAGCTCATCCTACTCAGTAACGTCACATGAATGAATCACGTTCATCATCAGCACAAACTAACGAGCAGAACGAGCTTCGCTGAGAAGATCATTAACTCTGATCAGCTCTCAGCTTCATTATTAGAGCGAGACGAAGGAGAAAAAGGAGAGATGAGCTGCTTTTCCACCGTTTACAGGCTTTAACTTCTGTTCGGCGCTGCTGCCATGGTAACGCTGAATGATGGCGCAGCGCAGTGGAAAAAAGCGCATGAATTCCGATCTGAGCGTCACATTAAAGTCGCATGACCGCAAATCGGATATGTATCCGATCTAGCACCACATATGAAAGTGACTCAATGAAAGTCACATTAGGGCAAAAAATCGGATTTGTGCCTCTTCAGCCTGGTAATGTGAACGTAGCCTAAGTCATCCTGCTCACCAGCTCTCTTGGGCTCTTGACCATGAATAGCTGTGGCATTTAAACTCAGGTCCTGGCTGTAAAATGCCATCCTTTTGTCCAGTTGCACCACTTGAGTTCCCCCCAGAAGGGCTCGGCAGCCTATGTGGTCACCGTATTCTTTCAGATTATTAAAATTTAGTTTATTTTCAGTGGAGGAACATCATTGGTTAGACAAGTCAGCCATTTCCTGCTGTTTGGAAATGCTTTACATTTGGATCTGGGAAGAAGTGACAAGTAAATAAGGGCAGATTGACAGTTGACCTTGGTCTGTCAAACGCCTGGCACCCATAATTAGATTAATTTGGACGCCCGACACGCTGTCATGGACATATTCATGCTTTGCATTTCCATTAATTTGCTCAGATAGAGGCTCTGATTTAAAGTCTCTCAGCAAGGTTAGTGCACCCCACATCCAATGAGGCTGAGACGTGTGTCAATCAACACTGAGATGCTTCGCTGATGTGGCTGCAGTGGGCCAACGCAGAGCCGTCACTCACATCATGTCTGTGATGCTGTTGGAGAAACGGGGTCAGCTGGCCAGTGTCCGTCTTCCAGCCGGTGGCATCACACACACTATGGGCTTCTCTCACTGCAGCCATGCTGCTGTCTGCCCTCGCTTTAGTGAGCAGTGCTGAAATGAAATGATGATGATAATAATATGAACAATAATAATAATTTATACTAATAATTTTTATTTATATGGCACTTTTTATGCCCGGTGGCAGCTCAAAGTACTTTTCAGACAGGTGCTAAAAAAGTTATACAAGAAATTATAAGTATTAATTTAGTATCATGTAAGAAAATGACACGGATCAAATTAAAAGATAAAAACCACGAGATGTAGAGTTTTAATTAAATGCTAAATTAAAGAGAAACGTTTCTAGATGCTTCTTAAAAGTGAGCACTGAGCTTGCCTGTCTAATATAAGGTGAACTGAGCTCCACAGTTCAGAAGCAGAATAACTGAACGAGTCTCTCCACGTTTTCTGTATTTTACAGAAGGTGTTTGTAGGTCAGTATCTGCAGATCTAAGATCATAAACAGACACTCTGTAATGTAAGTGGCTCTTTAAGGTCATTTAGAGTCTTAAATCTTGTAGCAGAACTTTAAAATCTATCCTAAACGATGCAGTCAGTGCAGTTCTTTTAAAGCGGGACTGATCTGATCTCTCTGTTTTGTTTTTGAAAGGATGCTGCTGGTTTTTGTACGAGTTGTAAAGGATGTATTGTTTTCTTAGGACGTCCAGTAAGTAGATCATTACAGTGATCAAGTGCGATAATGAAATTATCACACTATTTTAGAAATACCAAGTTAAATACCACCATTTCGTTCATTCAGTTTCAAGTCAAAATGGCCATAAAGTACAAGTTACTCATTTTCCAGCGTTAGAAGAAAAGCAGAGCCTCTAACTCCATCACACATGCATTTCACACCAGCATTTTTTTTTGTTGTGCTGGCTAAAATTTAAATTAAAATGAAATTAAAAATGATGACTTCATCATTTCTTCTGTCTCTTTGCCTTCTTCCCTTGTTCTCTGTTAAATAAATAAATAAATAAAATCGCAGACTCGATGTGAAATGTCAGTGCGCTAAACCTGTAAAAACCCAGCCCAGAGCAGGAGTTTCAAATAGGTGCGGTAGGAGAAAATAATTCTGCTCAACAATTGAATGTCAGTTATTGATGATTAGCACTGCTGTCTGATCCACTCAGACCAGCACAACACACACTAACACACCACCACCACGTCAGTGTTACTGCAGTGCTGGGAATGATCCACCACCCAAATAGTACCTGCTCTGTGAGGGTCCATGGGGGTCCTGACCACTGAAGAACAGGGTAAAAGGGGGCTAACAAAGTATCAGAGAAACAGATGGACTACAGTCTGTAACTGTAGAACTACAAAGTGCACCTATATAGTAAGTGGAGCTGATAAAATGGACAATGAGGGTAGAAACGAGGAATAATGTTACGTCTGATCGGCGTACGCAGCAGTACTGTAATCTGTAATTAAACTGGCAGGGTTGTAAGTGTGGCTACACTACTATTTGCTATTTAGCTTCCGTTTCAGATTGAGGGTTACAGTAGGTCATTCATTCAAATCAGTAATTAGCGCTTCCTACCACCACTGCAGCTGGTTAACCCAGTCTTCGTAGCCCAGCGCTGTAGTGACAGTCAACTAACTGAAGCTTTGAAGCAGCTCCCGAAGCTATTGTTTTCCCTTCTCCGTTCTATCCACCAGCCTGCCGAATTCCCTAGTGGTGTGTGTGTGTGTGTGTGTGTGTGTGTGTGTAAGCATGTGTACACCTCTCTAGAGCAAACACTGGTTTTTTATAGTAGACAGCAGAGTGCAGATGAAACCCAGTAGTATTTACGCTCTGGGCACTGGCGCAACACAGCGCAGCCGTAAACGTATGGCACATAAATAGAGGCTGTTAGGAGTCATTTTCGTGTGGGTGGCGGCTGCCGTGCTGATGGGGCATAACTAATGATGCACTTTGAACAAGCTGTGTTGCATCTATCAAGAAACACCTCCCAGCTCAGCTCAAACAGCTCTGATTGCGGGTTGCTGTGGTGGTGATGGTGGCGTTTTCACGCATCAGTGTTGGTTTATGGAAAAGCTCACCTGCAGCTTTTGTTGTGCCATTTTATTGTAGTGTCTACTTCACCATGGAGCACTGGGTGGGTGGGAGGATGTCAGCCTCTAATTAACACGCATTATTAAATGCTGTGGTGTTTATTGTTGTTGCTTTCAGGCTGTATTGTATGAGAATATTCCACTCTGGTGAATGTGTGTGTGTGTTGTATTATGTTTGCCTCTGTGTTTCCAGGTGCTGATCAGTAGAAGCTGTTCAGTATTTGAGTCTAGCTTTGCCAGTTCTTAGTGGAGCTCCACAGTAAATTAGAGGTGCAGTGATCATGAGCTTTTATGGCTCATTGTGACTTATTTACAGCCAATTTGGTCTATGGCTGATTTTTATTAGCCTTTATTTTATTTTTTTTTACTTGAAGCTCACACTGTGTGGGATAAGTGAACACAAATGTGTTTCCTCATAGACAGTGATAACAGCACTTCTAATGCGCTGATGCCTTTGTGTGTTACAGATGCCTTTGTGAACAGCCAAGAATGGACCCTGAGTCGCTCCGTGCCGGAGCTCAAAGTGGTGAGTGCTTAAATGATTATTGCAATTTACATGTTAATATTGCATTTTTGGCCTTATGTAATCCATTTGCCTGACCTACTGAATATTTGCAGGTTTACCTACACTTTGTCTTTTTGTCTGCATTTATCTGTGTTAAAAAATTTCAATCATTTATTTCTTAATTTCTTATTAATAAATTTTATGTAATTTGAGTTTCATTCCAAGATGCTGCATATTTGTTTAACAATTTTAGATATTAGTTTTTGAAAATGACAGCTGATGAATTAACAGCTGATGAATGATCCAAAACAAACTTTTCTTTCTGTAATAAAGGTGATATTAACCATAATATTCCTTTGATATTACTTCCATGTATAACGCCCATTCCAAGCATGTCATGGAAACGAAAAATCTTAAAAGCGGTCTGTAATGCATTTTGGAATCAAACCATTCATATGTAAGTTTGATTTGTCAAACGAATATATATATATATATATATATATATATATATATATATAGTTACTATGATAAATTGTCACAATACAGTATGCAGTATTTTTTCAAACACATTTATTGTCAGTACTTGTAGAAAGCTGACAAACTGCCTGTTTCATTATAAAGAGAGCAAAATTAGTCCAGTTTAACTAGATTTAGTGCAACACAGTATACAATATATTGAATAAAAATCATTGTATTCATAGTTTTAATAGTACTTTTTAGAATGTAGCACTACTGGTTCTTTTTTCTCCTTTCCAACTGATCATATGTCTGGAAAAAATAAGTATTGTGAAATTGTTTATCATGAAAATTTCTTGAAGTGTTGCGATAATATATTTTTGCCATATTGCCCAGCTTTCTTGTAGCCCCTCACTCTTGTTCATATAGGGTATTATTGTTACAGTGGAGGCTCTCGATGGGAACTGTAGCTTTCTACTTAGCTAGTACTTTTGTTAGTTTGTTGCTCGTTGATTAATCCGTAGATCGAATATTGCAAATATTGTCTCTGTGCTGAAGACATCGCTTTAAAAGCCATTTAAAAGCTATATGGCTGCGTTCACATTACCAGGTTGAAGCGGCACAAATCTGATTTTCTGCCCTAATGTGACTCAGATCTGATGTTTTCAGAGCTGTGTGGTCACATGTCTGATCTTTTCAAATCTGACCTGAGCCACTTTCATATGTGGTCCTAGATGGGATACATATCCGATTCGTGGCCATGCAACCTTAACATGACGCTCAGATCAGAATTCATGTCCTTTTCTCCACTGCGCGTGCGCCATCATTCAGTGTTACCATGGCAGCAGCGCCGAACAGACGTTAAAGCCTGTAAACGGTGGAAAAGCAGCTCATCTCACCTTTTTCTCCTTCGTCTCGCTCTAATAATGAAGCTGAGAGCTGATCAGAGTTAATTATCTTCTCAGCGAAGCTCGTTCTGCTCGTTAGTTTGTGCTGATGATGAACGTGATTCATTCGCGTGACGTTACTGAGTAGGATGTGCGCATGAGGGTCATTTCAGGACGCCGGTTCATCACATTAATGACAGATTTGAGTCACTTACCTAAACGAGTGTGAACCATCGCGTCAGAGAGATCGGATTTGAGCAAAAAATTAGATTTGAGCATCGAGGCTTGTAATGTGAACGCAGCCTATTTGTATCAGAGGGCTTCAACTGGGCTTCAGCCTGCAATACTGGGAGTGATTCAAAGTGGGTCGAAATGTAGGAAAATGCCTCAGTGGCATTAATAATTTTATAATGTTAACTTTGATTTTGGTAATATAAGTATCTGTAAATCACTGTAGTCGGAAGAAAACCTCGTATCTCCATTTTTGACGTTTTCCAGTTTTTGACATAATTTGAAAAAACATGTTGCCCTTTCCATTGTGTGTAAATTTCATGATGAATGGACTAAAAGAAACAACCCAAAATGACTTGGAAAAAATTCTGGTTCCATTGACTTACATTAAAAGTGAAGGCGTTTTTTTCCTTCTCCTGTAAAGTTACCTTTTTTGGAGACGAGGTTTTCTTCCGGCAACAACGAAATATTGGTTCCTCTTGACTGGTACCATATTGTTGCTAATGTGCAGTGCATTCTGCTGCTGGATTATAACTGGGATGCCCTGTCAATGTCTTGCAGGGTATTGTTGGGAACTTGGCCAGTGGGAAGTCAGCTCTGGTGCACAGGTATCTGACTGGGACATATGTTCAGGAGGAGAGTCCAGAAGGTAAGAATTCACTGCACTGTCCATCCGCTATGACCTCTGTAGTGGACCACTGTGCATTGACAGGCCAACGTCAATATAAGGACATGCGCACACATGCTCTTAGATTTCAATATGTCACCAGTCACACACAGACTTACACAGGGGGCTCAGATGTTAATGTAATTACATGCTTTCATCTTCTGCAAACACTCACAAGTCTTATCATTTACTGTAAGTGGCCTGAAGTGTTAAAGTGGGTCAGGACTATTATTACTCGACCATGAATGAGGTCAGTAGCCCATGCAAGGTTTGCTGGGCTCCCAAGACATAGCGCCTGAAGTCAGTTTCTTTTCTTTCTGTCATTCTTGCTTTCTCCCCCTCAGACCGTAGTACAGGGCTGCAGGCCTCTGCCATGTTCTCCATGTATAATTGAGAATGCAGCCGGCACACAGCCAGAAAACCCCAACAATATGCTCTCGTCCTGGGGCTAGGATCTGCTTTCAGCAGTGCCCAGCGTTAATATTTCATTCCTTTATTAATGTTAATGTCCAGTCGTTTTAAACTTGCCTTCTGAGAGACTCAGGATGACTTTGAATTCCAAATTCTTTCTTTAAACGTTTTTGGAATCCATTTGCAGTCAATTGCACTTCAGACCTTTTCAGAATCAGACGTGTTTTGCAGTTCAGTTGCAGTGCTTGCATTAAGTCAAGTGTTCAGTGTGTGGAGTCGGGAGTTATGGAGTTAATTTTATGCCAAATGGATGAAATAATAAAATATCTCCTTTGCTTCGGTGCTCTTACTTTTGCTTCTGAGTTTTGAAATGTTTTTATGGGGGCCTTAAGCCCTATTCGAGGTGGATTAGTTTAGCCTGCGGTGGTCTGATAATGTAATTTGTAAGGTATTTGACTAGCTGATTGTTTACCGCAGATAGCCCGGAAATGTCAGAGTCCGTTCGTTAACTTCAGTGTTAAGATTAGAATTAAACATCCAAACAAACAACAAAAACTAACTAACTTCCAGTTAATACCTGATACAGGGAGATTCACTCGAAAGAGGCCCCGAATATTCTGTTGTAACTCCTGTTGGGATGAAGCAATCTAAACCAAAAAAATACGCTACATACCTTGACGTACATATAGTCGCTCCGACGCAGGGGCATCCCGGCTTGTTCAGCGCTCCATATACCGAGGAGCACATCGCACGTTGTTTCGTTCGGATTGCTTCGTCCTGGCAAGAGTTATTACAGAATATTCGGGGCCTCTTTCGAGTGAATCTCCCTGTAGAATATCATTAAGCTTGTAAAGTGGACTCATTCAACTCTACAAATGCCACCCAACAGGACAGAAATCGCTCTGTCTCATGAGAGATACCTTCACATATTTCATTTCATTCTTCTTTTAATTAGGCCATCAACAAAAATGTTTTCGATTACAGTTGTCTTGTTTTAAACTAAGGATAATCCATCCTGATGAATGATCCATTTTACTGGTTAGTCTTGTCTCCCAGTCGCCGAAGATCAGAGGTGTCGTTTTTTTACTAACCTATTACCAGGTTTTGTTATTACATTACAATAAGGCCGATTTGAACACGACTGCTCCTGAATTATTACTTAGCAGATTTGTAAAAACTATGAACACGGCATGAACGTTCACCCTAAATGTTTATTGGCCCAATGTTTTGGAGTGACGGGCTCTCTGACCCTTAGCCACACCCACTCCATGAATTGTGATGGATACAGTACCATGTGCACTTTGCAAACCAACTTTACGTATCTCATTAACATTTTTAATGCAGCATATTTGAGTCCCAAGCCATCCTGTGTAAACGATATAGTTTACAAAATAAAGTTCTATAGCCTGGCATGTTCACACAAGCATAAAATGGCGCCTTTCACTTTAGTGAACGAACAAAATAATTTGCCAAAATTGGCGCCCCTGCTTGGCAGTGATGGCAGCTAGCTGGCAGCAGTCGGTGGCATTACTTTGTTACTGATATTGCTGACAAATTGTAAACACTGATAGCTTTGTTAGCACAAGCAGCAAAAAGAGGTATTGTATCTTTGCTGGTCTCTGTGCTCAGTTTACCGAATAAAAATGCAAGGAAAAGCGAAATTCACCGAAATTAATCGAAGGTGTATTCTGTAAAAAAATGAAATTAAATGAAATTGGACACACCAGTGCATCACTATGCTTGTGTGACGCGTTTTGCTGTGTTTACATAGTTGACTGAGTGGGCATGTAGAAAGATCAGTGGACAGGTCACTCCAAAACGGACTCGGTGACCTTCATCCTGTAAAATCGGTGTCAAAACTCAGAAGCGAAAGAGAGACTGATGAAGCAAAAGAAAAGATTCCAGAAGCAAAAGAACATTTATTTATATAAAATATATATATAATTTGCAAAATGAATGAAGGAAAAAATGATAGCATCAACTTTGTATCTATCTTTTTAAAAATAATTTTTGATTTATAAATATTATTTTGCTCAGTATTTTATTTAAAACCTTTGGCACGCAATTTATAGGGCACCCCTCAGCAAATGTGGCGAGCACAGGGCCGGTCGGTCAGCGGTGGCTGCCGGACTTTTGCAGGCTTCTGCCTTCCCTCTCAGCGCTATAAAGCTTTAGCCACCGCATACCGGCGGTCGGCAGGGAAATCACCCAGAAAAAAGCAAACGGCAATTGTGTGTTTGCTGCCATGGATTATAGTGGCCTGGGCCAAAAGCAACACAATGCGACATCAGAGACGGCTGAAGCTATGCGCTTTTATAAAGTTGAATCAACAGCTGGAGATCTCTGATCCCTGTAGCTGGCATCTCTGCTAACGTTAGAACGGTTTTCCTCTATGGATCCTAATTTCCGACTTGTGTGATGTCACAGCCTAGCATTGTCTTTAAAAACGAAAAGATTTGGTATCTTTCGCAGAGTTTGTGTCCGTCTAACCCGACCCAGGAGTAGAAATGTTTTCCTTTTTTTTTCCCCCCTCAGTTTTGCCGTTTGGGGTTTAAAAATAGTCCCTGCTCGTTTTGGTAGCGTAACCCCAAACCCCAAAACCACTTACTAGCGCCGTTCCAAAATTTGACTGGAGCCTCCACAAATGCCAGCGTTAGGCCTCCTCGGCTGCTCCCCCGCTTAAAGCAGCAGTGCCCCCCTCGCCGTCCTCCTGTTTTCATTACACACGCCGCATGAATGGTCACATTCTCGTCGAGATATCATCGGAGTGCAAGGAAGGGTGTGTGCGTGCACACGTGTGTGTGTTTATACTAGCAGAGGGAGCACTTCTCCCTGCAGGTCTCTTTCACAACGAGGCCCAGCTATTCCGAAGCCCAGCTATTCCGAAGCCCAGCACCCACCTCAGCTACTCAACGTTTACACAACGTTCACACAATGCTGGTAGAAGATGCCGAGATCCAAGTGAACCCTTCAGCGTGATTATACGCAGCAGCCCCGCCGCGTGAAAAATACTTTTATCACCAGCCAGGATCATTTAAATGTGGCAATGATTTCCTTCCTCTGCACAGCTAGACTGGATGCAGTTATGTGCTGAACTGGGAATACTGAAGAGGTTTGAACTTCTTGGGGGGGTTTTTAGCTTGAACTTCTCTTCTGTTTCTTCTATTTCATAACTTTCCTTCGCTTCACATTCTCGTTCATTCTTTGCTTTGTTTTTCAATTCTTCTTGCTCCTCACTTCTCTACCCTTTTCTTAACTTCTCTAGCTTTTTCTTAATTTCTGTTTCTCCTCTTACTTTTCTTTGCTTTTTGTCGCTTCACTTTGCTTCTCTTAGGCGACGTTTACACAGCCGGTAAAAGTGGCCCAGATCTGATTTTCCCACCAAATCTGATTTTTTATCTTTTAAATGGGATGTTTATGTGGCATCAGTCTGAACAGATCAGCTCCTAAACTGACCTGCATGTCACGCTGCTTCACGGCTCATCCAGAGGTAAACAATCACGACTTCCAACGAACGCCAGTCGCTCCCGGAGGATCAGCTTCATCTTCACCAGCATCACAGAAGACATCATGAAGCTTCACTGACTGACAGCTGGGCTCATCACCCAGAATGTGTTTGAGTCCATAATAAAGTGCATGTTATTCGGCCACGGCCACTTCTTTGGTTTGTGTCCTCGGATTCTTTAAACTTCTTTGACGCTGCAGCCTCGTTCTCCTACGGCCTTGTTTGGCCAAATCTTTCGAAATCTGTTCGAACACGGAGCGGCTGCGATGAGTCTCTTCTAATTTTTTGGTACAGAAACATCAGCCGAAATGTTTGAGACTCAACAGCACGAAATTATGACGAATGTCGAGTTGTACTGACGTAAAAAGTCACATGAATTCCGATCCGGCTGTTCAGACTGAGACACACTGCTGCATATCAGATACGTATTTCAGTACCACATATAAAAGCGTCTCAAACCGGGATTGAAAGTGTCTGATTCAGTGTGTTTATCTGTTCACGCTGACACACAGACACACATCTGTGTCACATATGAAGGAAGTTGGACCACTTTTACCTGCTGTGTGAACAAAGCCTGCCTGTTTCTTCTCTCTGCTACACTGTTCGTTTCTTCTTTTTGCTTTCCTTTGTTTCTTGTCTTTATTTTGCTTTTCGTTACTTTTCTTTGCTTATCATTTCTTCTGTTCGCTTTACTGTTCATTGCCTCTCTTCACTTTTCTTTGCTTCTCTTGGGTTTACTTTCTATTTCATCTCTTCACGTTGCTTCGCTTTCGGTCTCGTTCCCCCTCTTGTAACAAGAGTTGAGTATGTAAGTATGTGATTTTAACCACGGAGGTGCTGCAGAAGTTCACCAGAGCTGTGTATCAGACTGACTGATGTCCTGAGGGCAGGTTTTGTTTTATTTATTTATTTATTTATTTATTTATTGTTTAACTGGGTCAGACACATGTGTTTGATTTGAGGGCCTCTCCCCCCCACACAGCCGCACATGACCCACAGCCCCTTCAGCGCTGTGCCGTTACAGATAAGAATGAATGAATGCTGTGCTTATCAGGCTTCTTTTTTGGTGTGTATCTTATATCTTAAATGTCTTTCTCCTTCTCTGTTACACACACACACACACACACACACACACACACACACACACACACACACCCTACTGAGTTTAATTGTGCATGTTTAACTGGCCTGTCTCTTGATTTTTTGCTTCTTCTTCTTCTTTTTTTTTTATTTCTCTCCTCTTTCTGGCTGCACTGTTTAACTAGCTGACGTGGATGCAGGTAACCACTTTCTTTCTCTGCTTCTTTTATCCGCCCTTCTCTCATTCTGTCTATCTCTCTGTTATTATGGGGATAATGGGTCGTTCCATGGGGAGCGAGCTTGGCTTGGTGTGTTACCTTCTTCATGTGGCTTGATTAAGTTCCTCCTCAGCGTGGGCAATACACCAACACAGCATCAGATCATTTGAAGGCATTGTCCCCATATTTAGTCTTTCTGAGATATGTAAATAAGCAGTAGTAACATGCTGATTGTTAATTATTGGAATAAGAGAGTGGCAAAAAGGGCTGGCATTCAATTAGCTACTTGGTACTATGCAGGTTAAAGAGTTACCTTGCGCTGGTTGTTGTTTACAGACCCCCTTTTTTATCAGTGCTAGAAATTATTAATGAATTATCTGCTAACTAGCAAATAAACAGTTGTCTGACTGAAGCTGTTGGTTAAAAAAAGCTATAAAATTTAGTTTAATTTTATTTCATTTCCAGTGAACTGCAGTTCCTTTAAATTAAATTAAATGCCTGAGGGCACAGTAGACAGTTGGTTCTGCTAGGCAGGCCTATTAAAAATGGTGCATGCAGCTAAAACTACTGGTGTTCAAGACCATTTTTCAAGCAGTCAACCATATCAAAAGCAAAACTCATCAAGCACTGCTGTGTCTGATCCACTCAGACCAGCGCAACACACCCTAACACAACCACCACCATGTCAGTGTTACTGCAGTGCTGAGAATGATCCACCACCCAAATAGTACCTGGTCTGTGAGGGTCCATGGGGGTCCTGAGCACTGAAGAACAGGGTGAAAGGGGGCTAACAAAGTATGCAGAGAAACAGATGGACTACAGTCTGTAACTGTAGAACTACAAAGTGCACCTATATAGTAAGTGGAGCTGATAAAATGGACAGTGAGCGTAGAAACAAGGAGGTGGTCATAATGCTACGCCCGATCGGTGTGTACAGTAATGTGTGCCGTGATATGCGTTACGATGTTATAGCTGTTATATACTTTGCCCAGCCCTGCTTGCCTTCTGAAACAGCAAACAGCCCATTAAACCGTTTTACCCTCTTTCTGTTCTGCTGAACACTCTTCCTCCTTAGAGCTACAGACAGCTGACCATTACAGCTCAAACGCAGAAGCTCTTTCTGCATGGTTTGCATCAGCCAGATGAACCTTAAAGAAATCAAGCTAAAGTGAAGGAAGTGGCACGCCATCCCCTCTTTCTCCCTCCGTCTATCTCAGTAGATTTGCTGTTTGTCATCCTCCATTTCACTCACTTCATCATCCGATTACTGTTGGAATCACTGAACTGGATCTCACGGTCTTGGCTGGGTCACTGGGAGACCCCTCGGTGCACTGAAGCAGTGTTTGCTGAACCTGAACAGTGTCAGTGTTTACGTTCTTGTGTGTTAGTCTGAGATGCAGCGGTGAAACAGTGATACAGTAATACTGTGTTTGATGGAGTCTCTAAGTGGAGCTCCAGCTCTAAACTAAGCTGAGGTTAACCACATGGAGAAAAAACAGAATGCGTTTAGTGAGAGGGTGTGTGTCTCTATGGCTACGTTCACATTTCAAGCCTCCTCGCTCAAATCCGATCTCTCTGACATGATTTAGGTAAATGACTCAAATCTGTCATTAATGTGACGAACCGGCGTCCTGAAATGACCCTCATGAGCTCATCCTACTCAGTAACGTCACGTGAATGAATCACATTCATCATCAGCACAAACTAACGAGCAGAACGAGCTTCGCTGAGAAGATAATTAACTCTGATCAGCTCTCAGCTTCATTATTAGAGCGAGACGAAGGAGAAAAAGGTGAGATGAGCTGCTTTTCCACTGTTTACAGGCTTTAACTTCTGTTCGGCGCTGCTGCCATGGTAACGCTGAATGATGGCGCAGTGGAAAAAAGCACGTGAATTCTGATCTGAGCTTCACATTAAGGTCACATGACCACGAATCGGATACGTATCCGATCTAGCACCACACATGAAAGTGACTCAGGTCGGATTTGTAAAGATCAGATTTGTGTCCACACAGCCTTGAAAACATCAGATCTGAGTCACATTAGGGTAAAAAATCAGACTCGTGCTACTTCAACCTGGTAATGTGAACGTAGCTTTTCATATGTGGTTCTAGATCGGATACGTATCCGATTTGTGACCACGCGACCTTAATGTGAAGCTCAGATCGGAATTCATGTGCTTCTTCTCCGCTGCGCGTGCACCATCATTCAGCGTTACCATGGCAGCAGCGCCGAACAGAAGTTAAAGCCTGTAAACAGTGGAAAAGCAGCTCATCTCACCTTTTTCTCCTTCGTCTCGCTCTAATAATGAAGCTGAGAGCTGATCAGAGTTAATGATCTTCTCAGCGAAGCTCGTTCTGCTCGTTAGTTTGTGCTGATGATGAATGTGATTCATTCACGTGACGTTACTGAGTAGGATGAGCTCATGAGGGTCATTTCAGGACGCCGGTTCGTCACATTAATGACAGATTTGAATCACTGACCTAAACGAGTGTGAACCATCGTGTCAGAGAGATCGGATTTGAGCAAAAAATCGGATTTGAGCAACGAGGCTTGTAATGTGAACATAGTCAATGTAAACTCCTTCTGCACTCCTCTCTCTCTCTCTCTCTCTCTCTCTCTCTCTCTCTCTCTCTCTCTCTCTCACTGTATTGTCTCTCATTTCTCTCTATTCTCTCGCTCTCACTTCTCTCACTGTAGTTTATCTCTGTTCTGTCTCTTCCTGTCTTGCCTTCTCCCCCACCTCTCTGTTCTCCTGCTCTTCGTCTCTTACCTGTCTCTATCTAATGTCTCTGTTCTGTCTCGCTTTCACTTCTCTAATCCCTCTCTCCCTGTATTCTGTCTCTCTTCTTTCTCTCTCTCACCCCTCTCATTGTATTATGTGTCTCTTCTGTCTCCGTCCGGGTTTCTCACCCGCCTCTCTGTTATCACTCTCTCGCTCCTTCACCTCTCTTCTTCCCTCTCTGTCTCTCTCTCCGTTCCATCTCACCTCACTCACTGTGTTATGTCTCTCTTTTTTTCTTGCTCTCTGTTTTCTCTCTCTCTCTCACTGGAGTTTATGTTCTGTCTCTTCCTGTCTTGCTCTCTCCCACCTCTCTCTATTTTCTCTCTCATTTCTTTCTTTCCCTCTGTTCTTTCTTTATTCTCTCTCTAATCTATCTCTATTCTGTCTCTCTCCTCTCCTCTCTTCCTCCTTGTGTCTTTGTCTTTTTACTTCTCTCTCTCCCTCTCTCTCTCCTTTCCCGTCTCTTTCTCTCTCTCTCCCCTCATTCCCCTTCCTCGCTCCCTCTCTTCTTTTCCTCTTCCTCTATTTCCCTCTCTCTTGCCGTCCCTCTTTTTCTGTTTCTCCAACTTCACTCTCTCTTGCACTCTTCTACTCATTTTCTTCTTTTCCTTTCTTTCTCTCCCTTTTTCTTTCTTTCTTTCTTTCTTTCTTTCTTTCTTTTCTCTTCTCCCTCTCTTCCCCATCTCTCTCTATCTATCCCTCCTCTTCTCATCCTTTCTCCTCCTTTCTCTTGCTCCCCCTTCTTTCTGTCTCCCTCTTTTTAAATCCCTGTCCCACTTCTCTCTCTCCGTCTTTTTACTTCTCTCTCTCCCTCCCTTTCTCCTTTCTCTTCTCGCTCTCCCCACTCCTTCTCTTTGCTCCCTCTATTCTGTTCATTTCTCTTGCACTCTTCTACTCCTTTTTTCTCCCTTGTCTTTCTCCCACCATTTTCTTTCTTTATTTCTTTCTTGCTTCCTTTTCTTTCTTTCTCCTTCTCCCTCTCTTGCTCTATCTTTTTTGTCTGTCTCTCTGTTCAGTATCGCTTTAAATCCCTGTTCCTCTCTCTCTTTCTGTCTTTTATTTACCCCCCCCAGACCCCCCCGACCTCTCTCTCTCTCTGCTGTACTGTAATGTGTTATAAATAACTGTGGCTGAGGGTTCTGCCTTTTCGCCGTTGGCTCTTCTGAGTCCGCTTCCTCTTCCCTCGCGGTACCAAAACGGCCAACCGTGTCATTATGGAGAAGCGGCTGGCTGTTCCAGCCTGGCCGTCCCGCCTCTGCTGCACACACAGCGACAGTCACTGTCGCTCACACACACACACACTCACTCACACACACACACACACACACACTCACTCACACACACACACACACACACTCACACACACACACACACACTCACTCACTCACACACACCCACACACGGAACCAAACAGACAGTCAGGCTTTCACTGTACTGAAACATTTAGAGTTAGTCCTCATTTTCACAGCTGTCAGGAATCAGCCACCATGGATTTTAATGAGAGGAGAACATAAGAGCTTTTAATCTGGAGAAAGACTCAACATTCAGAGAAGCAGCAGCAGCAGATAAAGCACTATCAGCAGAAACCATGCCAATGCCAATTTTTTCAGCTTTTCTGAGTCACATAGTGCTCCAGCCGTGCCAAATGTCCTTAAGCACATACATATATTTACATATGTGCATTTCGACACTGTTGTAACAGAAGCTCTCCGATTTAATTATTTCATTTGAGAAGGAAAAAGTGCTCCTGACTTTATTTAAATTAATGATGTGGGAATTTATAAGTAATTTTAAATAATGTTTAAAAAAAAAAGTATAAAAAAGCCCAGTATAAAGATCAGCTGCTGTTTTTGATATGACACAACATTGAAGGTTCAGAAACAGCATAAAAAAATGCTTGTTTTTGTTTCAACCCCAACATAACATTCCTAACTGGTCTTGAACAAAATACAAAATAAAGGTTGATTTGCTTTCCTTTTCACAGTCTGTTCATAGTCTTAATATTAAAACAGCATGTTTGGAAAGCTGTTTGACCCAGACGTTTGTTTGTATTGATAAAGAACAGTCCAAAAACTTACACTATGAAATTTAGGTGTTAATGAATCAGTAAATTGCTCAAACATGTCGCTGTGAAACAGAAAAAATTACCAGAGATTGTTATGATTGAAATATGCCCAAATGCAGTGCTATATGCTGTC